ATGTAGTTTTTCTTTCAAACATCAATGAAAAAAGTTAGTGCAGCCTTTTGGCATAAATATTTCAAGGGCAAGAAATCAAGTTAGAAAATGGAAAGATTTGCTTAGCAAATTGCGTTTCCTAACTATGAAATTAGTGATATTAAAAATGAAGTGGTACACTTTTGAATCCACGTAGTATGACTACAGAACCATTAACTTTTGAAACCTTTTTCTTTCAAACATCAATGAAAAAAGTTAGTGCAGCCTTTTGGCATAAATATTTCAAGGGCAAGAAATCAAGTTAGAAAATGGAAAGATTTGCTTAGCAAATTGCGTTTCCTAACTATGAAATTAGTGATATTAAAAATGAAGTGGTACACTTTTGAATCCACGTAGTATGACTACAGAACCATTAACTTTTGAAACCTGCAGTGCAAATTAAAATAGCCATTGGGATTTTTTTCATTGTTGCTGTTAGCTTTTCCTTTCTGCTCAAGTTGTTGTGCATATACAGCATCTAATGCAAAGGATCTAAAGCTGTTCATTGCATGAATACTTAACAGGCTTGTGAAATGATGCATGGATTTGGCAATAAGGGAACCCAACTGGGAGAAAACAAGAGCAAAAAAGAAAATAGAATTGTAAAGTCACAGATTAGAGCTGACAGAACAAATTTCCACTGAATAATTGTTTTACTTTATCACCAAAACATTTCTGAAAGCCCAAGTTTGATAGTTAAGTAGTTTGGCAACATCTTTCAGTATTGGAAACTGTCAGATTAAAATGGTGTAGAGCTTCTAGAAAGTTTCTAGACTCTAGTTTCAAGTTAGCATTCTGTCAGTTCATTAAAAGATTATTTCCTTGTCTCGAAGATATAGTCAAGAATAATCAGGACTCAAGAGGATAGAAGTAAAGTTTTCAAATACTAGTATTTGTGCTGGAGCTATGGTGAAAGAAAAGTTCTCTGCTGGTTGTTAGCTGTTGAGTTTTATTCAGGTGGTTCCTTCTAGCAGAAGAGTATAAAGCAGAAAATTAAAGCATGGTTTAAGTAAAGTAACAGCCCCAAATTTAAATTATGTTTAAAATGACTTTGATAATTGCTTAGGGTTGTTTTTAGGTTTGCATTTTAGGGATTAATTTGGATTGTGTAAACTTTTCTTGTGTTTTGACTTTGTCTTCTCACTTGAAACTACCTTAATCTGCATAGCACTAGTTCTGAAAATCCTTCGTTCTTTAAAAATTGAAGCTAGATAGATTTCAAAGAAAGATTTATAGATTATAGGATAGGAGTATTTTAAGTTGAAAATTACTGTAATCTTGAGCAAATACATTCAGTATAATAGTTTTCAAAGGTGGCTGATTTTTTCTTCATTTTAAGTCTGAATGATTTAAGAGTTTTAGAATTACTTCTATTTTCTGTTTAGTCTAAGTTCCTCCATTGATCTGTCCATCTCTTGCTTACTTCTGTTGTGTTCTGGTTTTTCCGCTCTTTTCTACCTCTAGCTTGTCTTACGTGTTCCTGTTTGCCAGTTGCCTTTTTTCTAGCTTTTGTCATCATAGACCTTGAGGTGCAGGATATCTGAAAGGTATTTCTTTAATTACTTTTTGGTGTTTTCTCTTTCAGGATAACATTTTGTCATCTGCCTTTCCAAAGTAAATGGCTATATGTGGGCACCGAAAGAGGAAACATTCACATCGTCAATGTGGAATCATTTACTCTCTCAGGCTATGTCATCATGTGGAATAAAGCCATTGAACTGTGAGTTTAATCAAGTATTGTCTGTTGATGGGAGGGAACAGGAGAGTCCCAGATGTTATTAACATCAGTTGCAGAAATGTCATTGTTAGCTAGAGTGGCTGCCATATTAGTATTGTCATGCTAAATACACAATCAAAGTACACAGTAATGTAAATAGTCTTTATTTTCATGAATGTGAAGTGTTAATGTTAATTTCTGCCTATAACACTGTTTTTTTCATAGTGCCTGGAATAGATATAGAAACACAAAATATAGAAATAGGTGTAAAAAATCATTATATGTGATGATAAAGTAGAAGAAAAATAATACATGTTAAAATATGATGTGGCTGCTGCTTGGACAGACATGTCACTTCTACAGTTCTGGGGTTAAAGACCAAAGCGCAGAGATATGCATTTTTTAAGAGGGCTGATGTGTTTTGAGTTTAAAATGACTGTCTGGAAACGTAAATTGAAATAAGCCTATTCCAAGATCAAAATATGTTATAAATATGTATAAATATTACATATTTCTCGTGGAACTGATGGAGCGAGTCCAGAGGAGGCCAGGAAGTTGGTAAGAGGACTGGAGCGTCTCCACTATGAGGACAGGCTGAGGAAGTTGGGGCTGTTCAGCCTGGAGAAGACTGTATGGAGACCTCATAGCAACTTATCCATATCTGAAGGGGCCTACAGAGGAGCCAATGAGAGACTCTTTGTTAGGAACTGCAGTGATAGGACAAGGGGTAATGGGTTCAAACTGAAGGAGGGGAAGTTTAAGTTAGATATTAGAAAATAGTTTTTATTTTAAGGGTGGTGAGACACTGGCACAGGTTGCCCAGGGACGTGGTGGCTGCTCCAACCCTGGCAGTGTTCAAGACCAGGCTGGATGAGGCCTTGAGCAACCTGATCTAGTGAGTTGTCCCTGCCTATGGCAGGGGGGGTTAGGACTAGATGATCTGTAAGGTCAATTCCAACCCTTAAATTCAATGATTCTGTGATTCTATGTAGGTATTGTCATAGATCTTCTTTTTATAATGAAAAATTTGTGTGTATAAATACAGTGGTTTGTGGGTGGAAAGATAGAGTTGTGTGCTGCTGTCTCTGTGCTGTTATTTTGTTCCCAGTACATTACATCTACCTTCAAAAAATGCTTGAGGTATATCACTTGCCAAAGGTGTTGAAACAAACACAGTTCTTCATTAGTCCATCATTTTCAATTGTGAGAAGTCAACATAAAGTATTAAATCTGTGTTGTTTGCACAGTGGCTGCCTTGGGCAGTTTATGAATAATGGCAAAACTTATTTTCCAGTATAAAAGTAAAAATCTTATCCGACTCTGTCAATTCTGTAACAACTGATGTCAAGGTTAATTTTTATAAAGCTAATGGCAAGAGTTTTTTTGTTGATAAGCAGTAAAGTCTTTCCTTAAGACGGAAACTAAGTGTCTACAGATAGACACAGTATTTATGGGCTTGAAGATAAAGGTAATTCCATGTTGAAGTGTCAACAACTTGCTTATGCCATATCTGCAGAATATAGTGTAGTGTATAGCAATCTATATCTGCAGAATCAGTATTACTTGCAGTCATTTTGAGATGAAGTCTAGGGCAGGGGAAATTTTTTAAAAATGGATATATTTCTCTTTTAGGTCATCCAAAGCTCACCCAGGACCTATTGTCCACATTAGTGACAATCCAATGGATGAAGGAAAGGTAGGATATGTTAAAAGACACGTGAATACATTATTTTTCAAGCAAGACTTCTTTTTAGAGTATAGATACCACTGCTATTTAAGGAATAATTAAGTATATGAGGACAATGTTGAAAACATAAAGGAGGGCTAAATCAAGGTTTTAGACCCTGAAAGTAATAAGAAGCAAGGTACAGATGTGACTGTAGGACACATGGCTGTGATAATTTGTCTAGTAATCAGAAGCATTTGAAAACACAGATGACAATGCTGAGCTTCAAAACTTCTGGAACACAGAACTAAAGAATTTTAACCTATGGTGATAAAAATGAAGACGTTACAAAAAAAAGTTCCTATCATAACCTGAGTGCTGAAAGTGGGGTGGAAAATAATTAAAATTTATATTGCTCTTGGTTGTTTTCATTTCCCAACTTTAAAATGCTTATTTACATAGCATATTTATATAGAATACCATGTGCTTTGCCATTAGTTTAACTAATCTGAGACAGTGTTTTTTGTGGAATTTGAGGTCTAACCAGCATACTTACATATTAAGCAATTTATTTTAATCACTTGATGGTGTCTGCTAGGTGAAACTGGCCTGCAGTTCAACTACATACTTCAGAAAAGTAAAACCCAACTAAATCATGTAAGAAAGAGCTGTGTATTAGGCTTGGCTTTTTGTTCTTATGAGATAGTACTACCATAATCATCGTTTCATCTGGACAAAAAATTTTACAGTACATGTTCTTGAAGCCCTTGCAAGACAAGAATTTTTGTGCTGTGACATAGCAGCCGCAAGAAGTTGAGCTGTGAACTCAGCAGTGATGAGTTCCTTCTGTATTAAAGCAGATCTGCAGATATTCATTAAGTCTTCACTGTGAACTAAAAAGAGAAAGCAAGGGCTTAAAATGTTGATAAGCCTTCTCTAGGTGACAGCAACTACTGTAGGATGAAATCATCCGTACCTCACCTAAGTCATGGTTTCAAGACTAAGTCTCTTCTTCAGGTAACACACCTCTTCTGTAAATTTTGGGATGGTATCACAGGGCCAGCACGTTTTCAGACACTTTAGCTTGTGTGCCCCACATAGTTATTTAGCAAGTCTTTGTGGTCTACTGCAAATTTTGTTCAGATCCCTTGATCTCCACTGAAGAGTAAGCAGGATGGGTTTTCCTTAATTTTAACAATAGGAATAAAGCAAAGTATTAAATAACTATTTTTAACAGCAGTCTTATGTGAACCTCTTCCAAAACTCTATTAGACCCCTGACAAAAGTGTGGTCATAACTTAGAGAGACTTGGAAGCTACTTTAAACATATTTTCATTAATGACATCACTAGATTAATCACTTATAAGCAATTGAGTGTGATGAATTAAATACTCAAATATTATTTCTGTCAGTGTAATGTCTGAGGAATATATTATTGATATTTTTGGTAATCTTAATATATTTTGGGGACTTTAGAACTCCCATGCGTGAAGAATCTTCAAGAAGAGAGAAAATAATTTTACTTACTACTATTCTACATAGGCAGGAGGAGTATTTTGTTTGACTACTTTGTTGTTTGACATGTTGGTGGTATATTAAATTGGACAGAGTACAAGTACAACTCTCTAACATTGAGGTCTTCACCTCTTTAACTCATTCTTCTCTTCATAACTGCTTGCAGTTGTGATGTAGTATTATGCTGCATATTTATGGAGCAAGAACTGCAGGTTTGCAAATGATATAATTTTGCTTTTTCTTATGAAAACTTAACATATCTGCTTATTAATGCAGCTTCTGATTGGCTATGAATCTGGAACAGTGGTATTATGGGACCTGAAGTCGAAGAAGGCAGAGTACAGATACACACATGATGAGGTAACATTTTTCAACTGCTAGTATTACTTAATCTGAGGTTATCATTCACTACTGTGATTTCTTTTCCATTTCTACTCCTGCTTCTATCACCAGATTCTTTGAAATTACCAGTACTTGAAATTTTCTCTAAAAGAGCAATAGAGTTTGGATAATAAACTTCAGACTGAATAAGTTCACTGAATTTAAGCTTGTGAAGCAGTGAATCATGGCATGGATTGGGTTTCATCAGTGGTGTTTTGGAGGGGATGAAACTTTCAGATCTTTTTTCTGTTAGTTATGTGACTTGCACCTGTGTTAAGAGCTAGTCTTAAGTTGAAACAAGATGGTTTTACAACTTGTTATTTGGAATCTCACATATTCTGAAAACTAGGGGAGGGAGTGGCAGAAAAGCTACTAAGTAGACTCACTAGGACGTTTGTATAAAAATTCCTTTTCTTTGTAGGATAAGTTCAAAGTTTGAAATAAGACTTGGAGAAGTTTGAAAAAACAGTGGAATTAAATGGCATTCATTTCTTTAAAACTCGACTCTTGAGAGAATAGACTTTTTTTTAAAGGCTGAGATTACTCAAAAGCATTCAGCCTAATATGCAAGTTGATGTATTTTCATGAATTGTAAAATGTTTGTGTCATGGTTCAGTACCAGGTGAGCCTGTTTCTTGATTCACAGTGAGTGTGTTTTTCTAAGCCTTGTGCTGAGCTTTCCACGAGGCACAATTTAGGTTTATTTTGGGTTTTTTGTGGCAGTTCTGGCTTGGTACTTGTGCTTGTGTGTGTTCTACCAATCAAGAGTTTCTTTGAAGGGGGAGTCTCTGAAGTAGTCTAAGCCTTAGATCATCAGAGTTGGATGAGGTTTCTTTGTGTTCAGAAATGTCTTATAAGCCCCAAAGTATGTTATGAGAAGAACAGTTTTCTCTCTTCCAGTTTCATTACATGCACCTAATTAATTCCCTTTGTCACTGTGTTTCATAAACCTACTCATGTCTTCATCTTTTTCTAGCCCTAAACTCTTCTATAGCTTGTTCTTCATGTTGTCTTTTTTTAATCATTCTATTTTATCTTTGTTTTATAAAACAAACACAGCAACATAGTATATTCAAGATGTGGGCATACTGGATTTGTGATGTTGAATAATTATCTTTTAGTTTTGTTTTCTTTTTCTCTTGATATTGGATTAGCCTTTTGATGCTACAAGCATTAAGCAGATACTTCCTTGGAACAACCTACTATAATACTAGAGTCTCTTTCTTCAGTGTTAAATGTCAGGTCAAAGTCATGAAAGTTATTTCTACTTCAGCCCAAACCAGCACAATCACTTTGGATTTACATAGCTGGACAATAAAAATTTTTAAGTCTTTGCAGTTTTTTCATTGGAATTCTGATATCTACCTTGATTATGCTGTGGTACTGTCGGCAGACTCTACCACTTCAAAATGGTTGTTCTAATTTTCCAAGTTGTTTATGAATAAATGGAGCAGTATAGATCCCTAAGGGTCTCTACCAATTACCTTCATCCATGAACTAACCAATTACTGCCAACCACTCCTTATTCCTCTCTGCTTTACTTCCTGATACCTTAACCAGTTATTTTTCTGTTGAAAATTATCTAGTCTGTTTGGGTTTAGTTTCCTTTGAGAGATACTGTTGAAAGACTTTGAAAATCGTAGAGACAGCGTGATAGGTGTTTCTTAGCCACCTGCCTGTTAATGTTCTTGGAGGTTAGTTTGACTATAATTACCTCTTACAGAAAGCACATTGACTACTTTTACATGGTGTATTACACTTATCTATATGTCAATTAACTGTTCTTCATCAAAGTTTTGTTGCAGTTTCTAGAAACCTGCCCAATGCTGCGTATTCTGGTTTTCTTTGGATTTTGTGGTCCATTGTTTAAAAGTTGACTAAATACTTGTATTAATACTTTCTGAACCAACACTGATTTGAGAACCTGCAAAGAACAGTGAATAGTTCAGATGCTGTGTTTGATTTTTTTTAGGATTTGTATGTGAATACATCATGGTGTTTTTTGCTTGGGTTTTTTTGATTGCAGAAGAGGTAATGAAATAGATCAGATACTCTGGTAAAGTTATGCAGTAGCATAACTTGGGAATGGTTAGGAAGGGAAGAGGGAAAAAAATCTGTAGGGTGAACTTGATTGGTTAGAATCAACATACATAAAGTTGCTTACAAAATTTTTGGCCATTCAAGTTCTAAAAGTTGAAGGATGCTTTTCCGTGAGTTCAGATTTCCCTTTAAGAAAAATATCTCTTTGGAAAAAGAATTACTGCAACTTCTTTGACTCAAAATTTCGGGTGTGTGGAGGGATCCCAATGTCATCCTTTATGATCTTCCTCTGCTGAAGAACAATGAGGGTCAAGCTCCCTGAGTGATCAGAGATTTGTGGAAAGATATCTGTTACTTCCTGAGGGACGAAGCTGAATCCTGTTATATGTTTTTGTAGCTTCCTGCTTGGTTTCATTTCAAATAGCCTGACCTTTAGGAGGTTTTCTTGAAGCTAATTTCCATGTTGTGGTGTGATAGTCTTATTTGATGGCAGAAAACTAGGTTGATGGAACACTGTCCAAACCTTCTTCCTGTCTGAACATTTGTGACTTTCCAGCACCCTGCTCGAATAGTTGCAGCACAGGAATACTAGGACACTCATCCCAAGGACAGGAACATGTGGGCACCATCCCTAAAATGTTTGTAACCGTATTTCTGCTTAGCCATGGCTGGGGGAGGCAGTTGTAGGTCATGATTAGTGTTTAGTGCTGATTGCTGGCATGTTCTTCCCTCCAAAACATTCTAGTTCAGGGAAAATTCAGGTAATTTAGTTAGAATTTGTTCTTCATTTTTCTATATTCCAAAAGAGATCCTGAGCTTAAAGTAATACATATCTTTTATTAGAACAATAGTATTATGCATGTTTAGAATAATGCACAAATATAACATTGTTTTTCAGAGTATTTGGAAGCAATTGTCCGTACAAAGCGGAACTGCAGTTGTGATTGAACTTTCTCTGTAGAAAGTTTCTTTGAAACCCTTTACTCAAAATATCTTTTTTTTCTGTCTTGGGCAGGCTCAGTAAAAATTAAGACTTAATTTTTTGCATTATTTCTTAAGCCTTTTATGTTCAGACATTGGGGGTTTTAAGAAAGTAAGTTATGTATTTCTTATGTGGAATACAGTTTATATTGTAGTCATTTCCCATACTGTATTTTCATTGAGGAAAGAAGTAAATTTCTCAACTATTAGTTTTATTTTTGTAAAAAAAATTGAAGTGTAGCTTCTGAAATCTGAAACTAATTTTTTAATAAAGTCCCTTCAAGTAATATTTTGTTTGTTCTGACGTAAAGTAAGCTTTGATAGCATTAACTATAATGTATTATAGATTACTATTTTTGGACTCAATGTTCTGGTACATGGCTGAGTGTAAGAGATTATTCTGCAGCATTAAAAACACGTCAAAGTAGCCTGTGGAATTAAGAGGATGGGGGAAAGAGAAGTAACCCCTGATATGTGACTTGCCAGAAACCAAAACATCTTGATGATGTATTGTCATTGAAGTCTCAGTAGCTACATTTTTCTGTTTTCTTTCTTTTGCATAGGTTTTTTCCCTTCCTTTCTTAGATTTTTGAGAGAGTTAGCATAAGTACTCAAAAGTTACTATGTTTTCTTTGAATATTTTGGTAAACCTGTGCAAAAGAAGTCAGTATTATCATCCATTCAAGTTCAACAGCAAATACTGTCCATGTCCGTGGAAATTAAAGGACTGCTATAATAAGACAATGAAATCTGGATAGGCTGTGGTAAATAAACAGTTTGGTTTGCAGAATAGCTAATCACAGACTCTACCAGTCATGCACAGTGTATTTCAAGCTCAGTTAATGTCACAAGAGAGTACAGGATCATGTTAACATCCAAAGAATTATGGAAGGAATTGTCAGTATCTCTGGTGCGTTCCTGTGGGAAAGTACGCAGAAACATTGTCCTAAAGACTGTGTGATACTTGAAAAGTAGGCAATGAGATGCATATGCTAAAAAAAAAAGTTTTAGATTTTTTTCCTGAGTTGTAGTAACTCTATTTACAGTAGTCTAAAGTTGCTGTTAAAAGAATTATCTTAGAATACAGGAGAAACTGCTCAAATTAATAGCTTTTATATTGAGGTCAGTGAATTCTTGCATGTACTGTCCTGGTTTTGGCTGGGATAGATTTAATTTTCTTCCTAGTAGCTGGCACAGTGCTGTGTGTTTGGATTCAGTGTGATGGTAATGTTGATAACACACTGATGTAAGAGTTTGTGCCAAGTAGTGATTACCCTAAGTCAAGGATTTTTCAATTTCTCATGTTCTTCCAGTGAGCAGGTGTACAAGAAGCCAGAAGTGAGCATGGCCAGGACAACTGGCCTGTGGACCGGCCACAGGGATATCCCATGCTATAGAGCCTCATGCTCAGTGTATAAACCGGGGGAATTAGGTGGAAGGGGCAGGCTGCTGCCTGCAGGAAGGTCTGGGCATCAGTCCATTGGTGGAGAGCAATTGTGTTGTGCATCACTTGTCTCTCTTGCGTTTTACTCCCATGCTGCACTCTCCTTTTCATTACAGTTGTTACTGTTGCTATTAGATTTTGCTTTATTTTAATTATTAACCTGTTCTTATCTCGATCCATGAGCTTTACGTTTTACTGATTCTCCTCCCCATCCTACCAGTGAGCAAGCAGCTGTGTGGTGCTGGTTGCAGGCTGGGGTTAAACCATGGCAGATAAGGAGAGTAATCTCAAACTGTACTGAAATTGTATGCGTGTAATCCGCTGTAGGGTTAAAATAAGCCTGTAGGAAGCGAAAAGAATGGGATTATTTGTATCAGTATTTAATGAATTGAAGCAGCTAAATTCCCTTGGTGGAAAAATACAATCAAAACTTGCATATTTATTGCTGAACTTGTCCCTAAAATTCTAAGGTTGTATTTATTAATTTTTGTACCTCTTAAAAGAACCAATGAAATAATAGTGATTTCTAGGGATAGTGGCAAGCTATTGCAGCAGTAAGCCCAAATTTTGTAAAATATTTTAAACATGCATTAATCCCTTGAAAAGCTAGTGATCTACTGAAGATATTTCTATAGGAAGCTTGCATGTAAATGTTTTAAATTTTGGTCCTCAAACTTTTTCAGTTTTTGTGATTGCATTTCACAGTCTTATGTAAGTCTCCCTCAGTTAGCTGCTGCAGTCGCTGCAAGAATGTTTCCTTCTGAAAATCAGATCTGTTCACCTTCTTTGCAGTCAGTATAGCAGGCATTTTGCCACCCAGGATAATCCTTCTGGAACAGATGGTGAAAGCAAGGCTGCCTGTGTGTACAGCCTGTCCCCACATAATACTCAGGGACAGTTAGTTTCTACAACTTCTGGTAAAGTTTTGACATATGTAGCACAGCACTGTCAATTGCGCTGTTTGTTATTCCAGAAAGTAAGATTTGATCCCCTGCCCTGTGAAAATGCATAATTGTATCAGAAGTTTTGAAACAAACTTCCTTAGAGTTCAGAGCAGCTGCATTAAATTTGAATTAAAGTGAAGGGATAGTAGGAATACTTTTAGTAAGAAAACTTCAGATTTTCTTAATTACAGCTAAAGGTTTATTTAGATAAAGTTAAAAAATAATTCAATGCTACACCTAAAGATGATGTTTTTTCCCCCCCTTAAACAATGAAGACAGGATTTTTGATGGATAAAGTTTGTCTAAAAGTACTACTTACAAACAGAAAACGTGCCATGGGTAAATTAGGACATACTAAGAGCAGTATTATTTAACTAGTGCTTTCTCTAACTTGCTTTTGCTGTCTAATGTCATTGAGGTAGGTGTAAGGATAAAATGATACTAAGATACACAACTTAGACTGTTCTGGGTTTGCTCTTTTCTTGCATAGGCTATCCACTCCGTGGCTTGGCATCATGAAGGAAAACAATTTATTTGTAGTCACTCAGATGGTACCTTGACCATATGGAATGTAAAATCTCCTACCAAACCATTCCAGACAATCACTCCACATGGTAAGATAAAAATGGATACCCACCGTGTCTGACAGCTCTTAAAACACCGCAAACTTGTTTTTAATAGAAGTGTGTTTTGCAAAAAAAAAAGAAGTATTAAAATGTACTTGCAATGCAAATAAATTTTGTCAAATCAAATTCTGATGTATGTCACTAAAAGAAGTCTTTATGAAACAGGAATCCAAGTCAGTGCAGTTTTCTCAGTCTCTAAACTTCATGCCTGCCTTTTGCACAATGGCATTGATTTCAAAGTTAACTAACACATGTTGCAGGGCTTGCTTTTTCCTTGACATCACAATCCCATATGTTGTTTAAAATACATGTAAGCAAGCATCTGTTTCATGTATAAATGTGTAGATTACCACATACATTCTTGGAAAGGTTTATAACAGAGTAAGATGAGCATCTGGTAAAATGATTGCACTTCTGAGAGGTCTTGCATTAATGTTAATTTAGGAAATTAACATTACACGTTCTTCTGTGAAATATAATGCTGCTCTTCAAATAAATTCTACACAAATGTCAGGTTTACATGGTGTGCATGTCTAAGTCATGTTTTAGCAACTTATTTACTTTAGATTCCCAAGTGTGAATGTAACAGTGAGGACAATCTGTGAGTTTACAGTTGTGGTGCAGGATTCTATGGTTAAGCATCCTGGTTTATCTATCTGAGCCTCTAGCAAGTCGTTGTTTATTGTACTGACCATGAACTAGAGTGGAAAAAAGAAGCTGTGGATGATCCTGTGCCAGGTGAAAAATAAACTGTTACTGTGTTAGTAGAACAGTTAGACATGACTAACTTTATTTGAATGTTTTGACACGTTTTAATAGCATTGGTTTTATCATGGGCTGGAAATTAAGTTTGCTACAGAACTTCATTGTTGTATCATACTTTATCAATGTTCAGGTAGGAAAGATGCATATTTACACTGTACTCTTAGTTTCTACTGACTTTATGGAGAATTATATCTGTAGAAGCTTCAGTTGTGCAGTTGAGAAAAGGGTAGGCTTTCCTACTCAAATTGAAGCCTTAGTCCTGAAGGATAATGCTCAGAATAAACCTCACTTTACTTGTAAACTGACCAATTTTATTTGCAAAATGGTAGGCATGACATAAACTTTAAATCTCCTAGTGGTACTTACAACCCTCCCCAAAAGAGCTGTTTTAAGTTTGAAAACAAATATCCTACAACACTTAGGTTTAGGGTTGGTGGTTGTTTTTATTCTAAACATTCTATAGTGGTGTATGGAGAGCTTTAATGAATCTTTAATGATATTGTTCCAATATAATTGTCAAAGTTGTTGAATATATGTTTGCATGGTTGTTCTGCTACTCAAGTTGCACAGTGAATTTCATAATTTGCTATAATGTTGTGGAACTGTAAGATTAATATAAGAAAATAATTTATCTTAGGAAAGCAGCTGAAGGATGGGAAGAAGCCAGAGCCCTGCAAACCTATACTTAAGGTGGAATATAAAACAGCTAGAGCTGGGTAAGACTTGGTTTGTATGCAAAATGTATGTAAAAGAAATGCAATGCTCTGACAATGTACTTTGTTTCCTAGTTGTTGGGATGCATATTATGATGGTAGTGAGCTGTGGTAAAATAGCTGAAATAGTTTTGATAAATAAGGTATTGAAAAATAAACTGCAAAAACATAAATGAAGGAATTGCTATATACAAACCTTAACTTAGGTAAAGATACTGCTAATGCATTATCCTCGTGCTTCTTTCATGCTGCTAAAACTTGTGTGTATATTTGCTTGGGTTTTTTTGAGAGCATTAAAGAAACAAAGGCTGATAAAGCACAGAAGACACCAAAACACAGACCTGATAAACTGAACTTCGACAAATAGTGGCCTGATACAAATATTCTAAATTCTGAATACATGTTCCTCCCACAAAAATGTTATTAACAAGCTTTTTTAGTAGAGTGCAGTAATTTATGCAGTGAAATGTACCTAATTATGCACATCGAGAATGTAACAAAGCAGTAATTGCAACAAGAGGCTCAGATGGAATTACAGTGTCTTGAGTAGCATGTTTTGTCACCAAGACTGCAATTAGGGCTGATGGATTTCATGAACTGTGGAATTCTTTTATTTGTGGTTCTAAAGTGCTTTACATTGTTTGAGTGAAAAGCGCAATATAAAGATAAAATATTCATGGAAACCTGTTCAGCTATTTGCAGAAGTTGGTTTTTGTTTTGGGTTTGGTTTTTTTTTTTTTGTTTGATTGGTTGTTGGTTGGTTAGTTGGTTTTTGTTGGGTTTGTGTATTTTATTTGTTTTGTTTTCTTTTTCTCTTTGGAGGATTTGTGTATTGTTTTCATTTGCTTTCCAGGCATTCAAATCTATAGAAGATTTGTTACTTAAATGATGCAGTGTAGTTTACTGCATATTGGTGTACCCATGCTTATAATATTAGTGGCTTTGTGTCTTTTTGTTTTTTGCTAGAAGTGAGGTAAATAGAAATTTAGGACTGTGGCTATCTCCCAGATGTATGAAACTCTGTGATCAGCTGGAAAGACATGTTTTACTTGCAGAAGTCTACATCTGTTTGCATAATGGTTTCTCAACTGAAATATCAAAAGCTGATCTAAAGAAAGAGATAAAAAAAAAATCTCAGTTTCAGCAAGTTATAATTTCTGTAATCAAAAGCCTTCTATTATGAATAGTGATTCTGAAGAAGATTACTTTGAAGCTTATTCTGTGGCATTGTAGCATTACAATATGAAAACTAGTTGGCTTTTCACACAGTTTAAAGAGGAGCTTATTCTACTATAATTTCTAAGAATACGTAGTTTTTTGGGGAGACAGCTTTTCCTAGTGTTGGGCTTCTAATTTTCCAGTGTTTATCCAAACTCAGTGCTTTGATACATTTCAATTTAATATTCTCTCTAATGTTTTCTGTCTTCAGTGTACTGTTAAATCTATAATTGTTGATATTTTTCCTGAACTTCCTGAAAGGTGGGGAGGGGGCAGAATCTAACAAACAAAAACCCACCAGTTTGCACTGTGGTGGTGAGGCAGTGCACTGAAAATCTGTTTGTTTACTGCTACATGTACTTCAGTTTCTCTTCAATTTTCAGTGTCAATTGTAATCTTATAAGTATTTTAAGGCAAGACAGAAATACCTTTCAGTAGTTAAAATTTTGATGGTTTTTCTCTTGGCCATTTGAAATTGATTAGGTATGAACAAGATAAGGTTTTAACTTTAAGCTAAAGTGCTGTCATTTCTTGTTTGTGGTTTAATGTCTGTAGCACAGAGGGGAATCAGTTTTGGACAGGACAAGTGTTTTTTCTAGCTACTGAAAGAATATAAGAAATGAATCAAATAAACTGGCTTCTACAGCAGTCAGCTCTAGCTGTTCTTTGAAAACAAGCAACAAAGCAAGAAAAGAACAAATGCTTATAGCATATATGAGGTACTATTTAATGTATATTTTAGTTATATTTCAATTCTTTATTGTGAAAAAACATGTTCACTTTTTCCATGCTCTGTATTGAATTCTAGCATCTTTGTCACTCCTTCTTTCTTGTTTCTCCCATATCTAGAATACTCAGAGATCTAGTTTTTTTCAGTATCTCCTCCTATGGATAGCACTTCATTGATATGATCTTCATTGTTTTCTTTACTGCTTCTAATTCTAATAATTTTTTTTTTTGAGAAAAGGTGTCCAGAACCACACGAATGAAAGAAGCAGAACTAATGGCAACTTGTATTAAGGGCTACAGGCACTATTCTTTTTACTGTTGCAGCTCTTATTATTCCCTTTTACTTTTTTCCTCCATTATGTTCTCCATATTGTGAGGTTGGAGTCAGAGAAACAGGAGGACTTGAGGCTTTTTCTGTTTTGTTACAGACTTTATTTTTTAACTTTCTGGGTTGTTTTTTTTTCTGGTTGATTCATGTATTTATTTTAAGTCTCCAGATCCAAAGTAGTTTACCCTACAACAACAGTATGTCTGTAGCTTTATTTCTGGGAGAAAAATATGTGGAAAGGTTGCATGAGGGTAAAAAAGGCAAATTCTTCCTATATTCTTTGAGCAAACTGGCATCATTTTATGATCCCAGGGCATAATGTCATTGTACTGCAACCATTTTTCATCTAAAATACTCCATCTTTTTGTGAAGCAATGAATTACAGAGGTAGGTTACTTTTCAAGCTTTCTGAAATGGTTTCCATACTGCCTTTTATGCATACTTTATCTGTCTAAAGTAAATTTAGAGAGGCTCTTGAACTTCCTAATGCCACTTTCCACCCCTCTGGATTCAGTCCTTCCTAATGCAACTTCCCAGTCCTGCAGATTCAGTACCTTATAGTATTTGCGCTGGTTGATATTAGCATTATGGTAAAATTGCCCAAGCTTATTCTTTGCCTCTAGAGCTTTGTCTAGTAGAACTTAGAGCTCAAATGTCTCCCTGTAAAACATAATCTAAAAGGGTATTGTCTTGGTTGCTCATGCAGCTGTCACTGGCCTGTAGAGCAGTACCTCTTGGATAGATATATATAATTTCTACACAGAGGTTATGTAATAATGATGTCTCCTGATAAGCAACAGTTCTTGATATAGTAATTTATTTTGAATACTGTTATTTTGTTGTCTGAACTTAACTGTTCAAAGGCACACTTCCCAAAAAGAATTTATCTTCACTACTACTTTAGGATTTCTAGTCTTAAACTAAACTGACTCTTGAAGTCTTTTCCATCTTTATTACTAGGATTAACATCTCGACAAGTTTACTTGTTTGAAAAGTAAGCCAGATGGTAACAGTGGCCTGACTTCTGTATATACTCTTCTCTCACACATCTGGATTGCCAGAGACTGGCTGAGATTTGACAGTCTGCTTCTAGAATTGAGCAGAAACATCCTCCACGGTTGTGAGCCACTCAGCTATCGATTGTATTTTGTTTTCATACACTGCAAAACCTAATCCTGTGTTTTCTGGAAGGTTTTTCAGTGAAACATTGCCCCCCTTTGTAGTGAATTTCTAAGTGTGCTCCAAGTGATTTTGCAGATTTAACTGATGAGGAAAGCGATGTAAGGGGATTATTTTCAAACCTGTTGAAGCAGAACTGGTTCAAATAATCTCTGTATGAGCAGCTGCTAAAAATTATATATAGCAATTCTCTGCTTTTTGTTAAATGTCTTCCATTGTTTCAGATAGGTAAAGTGTAATGACCGAAGTTGGGTTAACCTCATCTATTATGTGTAAAGTATGGATCTTTTAAATTTTTCTTTTAAATGATATATTTCTAATAACATTCATGTGCACTAACCTTTTAATATGTATCAGAGCTGAAGAACAACATTTTTAATTAGAAAATACACAGCTTGTGTTCATGGTAAATACATGGTTTCATGAAAATGGGGAAAATTTGTACACAAACCTGTAGTGATCCTTCTGGCAGACCAAAGTCAACTTTAATCTTTGATTCATTTGTGAAAAATCCATGTGACAGATGAGTATAATCTATTCTTAGCTCTTTCATTCCTTGCTTCATAAGGATGTAGACTCTTGGCAATCCTGCCCAAAGCAGTCAGATTACCTTGAAAAATAAAGCCAGGAGAAACCAACATGCAGTTTTCACTGTGATGTATGAAAATTAAAAACGGAAATTTGTCACTTTGCTATTGTCAGTTTATCTTGGTGAACCTGCATATTGTCCTGGGAGCATTATTGTTTAAGAAAGCAAATGATTTCTATAGACAAAAAAATACTGCTGTCTTCTAACATGAGATACTACACATACATCACACCAGTATTTTTTCTCTTCACTGACATCCTGAGAAATATCAGGTGCAATTCAAGTTTGCAGCTTTCTTGAAATTCCTTCATGAACCTGACCATAAAAGATTGTGTGAAGTTTCAATATGAAGAGCTGAGGTTAAATGAAAACTTGATGGACCCATGGTCTGATTTATGTCCATTCCTTGGAAGTCTCTTCCTCAGCCATCAGTACTCTCATCCTGTCAAATCTTCAGTCATAGGTCTTTCTAGATGATCAGACAGATTGTGAAATAATTGTAGAAGCTGGAAGCTTATCTCAGTCTGCTTTGCCTTCAGTGCTACAAACACAGAGTACATTTCAGCTGGGCTTTAAATTCATGAAGGGCAGCATGTGCATAAACCAAACCCTTCATACACAGTTCTCAAGAATAAAGATGCATCTAGTCCCACATTTGTGTTTCAAATATTAACTAGTGAAATCCATCTAGAGAGTATGGGAAAGATGATGTTATAGGAATGGATACAAATATAAACGATCTCTTCAGCTTCTCTTTTTACAATATATCAGGATGGCTTTTTTCCCTCTAGAAGTTTTCTGCAGATACTGACGTACTCCCTGGTTCCAAGGAAGATGCAAAAAAGGGTAGAATTTCTACTGAAAGTGAGCATAAAAGTAGATCAGAGGCAACTGGGAGGTGCTAAAAGTGCCTATTTTTTCCTTGAGGAGTATAACCTGGAATTTGAGGCAGTAGTCAGTAATGGGTGATATTTCTTGAGTTGTGTACTTATAAATAGTCAGTCTGCTCTTTAAAAGGCATTATGTCCTATTTCAAACATAAGCAGTATTAAAATGAGTGATGACTCCTGATAATTAGTGAATAAGAAAACACATGGTAAAATTAATATATTTGCTTAATCTTGTTTTTCAGTAAATAAAATAGTAAACTATACATTTTGTGCGTATTAGAAAAATGTGTCTGTTTAAAAGTATGTTTCTGTAAAGGCCTTTAAAATTTTTTTCAAGGGAAGACTAATCTCAGGACTAGAAGAAATATATTTGCTTTTCTCTACTCTGCTATTTGATTACAGAGTAGGAGTAGTCTGTGCATAGTAGTTTCTTGAATTTGGTGCATGGTGGTAGGGGGGAAATGGATAAAATGTCTAGAGCAAATGTGTGATGCTACTTAGAAGGTGTTAGGTCTTTGAAGCTTATCAAGCAGCTGGTTGCTTCTCCAAGTCATATTACTGTACAGCAAGTAAATGGGACTATTTATTCCTGATCCTGATGGCTTGTTTCATGTTATGGATAAATGGAGCTGTTGGCAGGTCTGAATCTGCAGTTCAGTAGAAAAGAAATACTTCTAAAGTTTTATAAAATTTTCAAAAAGCTCATCTTGCCAACTTCCAACATGGGTTAAATCAACAATATAGAACAAAAGGCTTGGAGGATATGTCTGACTTAAGTTATAGTCTTCTAACCCTTGATTTTTAAGTTTTGAAACACATATCCAACCTGTATATCGCATGGAGAGCTGGTTTGCATTATTTTTACTCCTATCTCTGCTTAATGATATCTCACCAAGCTTTATTATAAGGTTACAAAACCTGCCCAATCTCTTTTAGTGTATTATCTTGGCTTGATCCTAAATGCCTCTGCTTTATTCCAGGGAGCCTTTCATCATTCTCTCAGGAGGCTTGTCATACGACACTGTAGGAAGAAGACCCTGTTTAACAGTTATGCATGGGAAAAGCACTGCCGTGCTAGAAATGGATTATTCTATTGTTGATTTTCTAACCCTCTGTGAAACACCATATCCTAATGGTAGGCTCTGGAAAGAATTTTCTCAGTACCTCGACTTCTTAACTCTGGAGTTTATCCCGTCAGAATGTTCTTTACTATTGCCTTTCTGTTTTGTCTCTGGAGATCAGACTGCAGCAGCAACATCTGTTATTCCTATTGTCTGAAGTATGGTTTACTTCCCAAAGCATCATGATAGACTAGTTTACTAAAAACCTGTTTTGCTTCTAGAAGAGTGCCAATTACTCATTGCATGTTTTTTCTTTTTAATCCCAAAAGAAGTGCAGACAGAAAGCAGAATTACAACTGTAGGCTGTGGTTACTGCAGCAGATGTGTCCATCAGTATTTATTTGAGCACATGAGACCTTTCCAGTCAAGGCTAAACCATGATGTGCATTTGTGTATTATTTTTAACTTCTGGTGACTTTATTCATTCCAGTACTTACATGAAGTTCCTCAGTAGTTGTCCCAGAGAAATAGTAGTATATTGCTGATGACTCCAGTGTTTTTAGTTGTCAACTTCCATCAGAGTATGTAAAACTGCTTAGCTCAGAATTTGAGATCTGCCTGAAAGACAGCAATATAAACTTTGGAAACTTTTTCACGTTTCTTATTTTACTGTTGAGTCAGCTGTCTTTTAATCTGTTTTGTAAGCCATTAGAACTTAAACACCATGAATAGGAGGAAGAGCAATTTGGGGGTGAGAGGATGAGATTGCTGAGAAACTGGCTTTCTCTCCTATAGCCTGCTTATACAAGTGAACCTGCATGTTTCTTTTTCTGTTATTTGAGCTGTTGAGAATGTCAAATTAAAGAAACAGCATGACTTTCCAAACTGAACTTGGAATATTCAGGAGAGTGAATGTATATAAAATATCTTCAAAAACTCTAGTCATCTAAGTGGCTTTTTCTAATCTCACCTTCTAGAGTGCAAGGACTGATTACATTCTAGAGGCTGTACATGCATGATGTCTGTTTACTGATAAGTGACCTCTTTTTTTTTTTTTTTTTTTTTTTTTCAGACTTTCAGGAACCATATGCTGTAGTTGTTCTCCTAGAAAAGGACTTAGTACTGATTGATCTTGCACAAAATGGGTAAGAATCTTGTATAGTCTTTTTAATGGTTGGCTGCAGTGATCAGCCTGTTGTTCTGTTCTGTAGCTTTTTAATCTACCATAACAACTCTCTGTCCAGAACACAAATAAATAAAAAGTTTCTTCAACTGAACTGAGAATCTTGATGTATCAACTTTTCTCAAGTTAATATGTAGTAGATAAGTAGAATATCATGTGAGTTTTTCCAGGCTTGATTGACTGACAGAATTTACTCATTGATCACTGCTGCTTTTTAACTGTTACAGTTTATTTTGAAGTTGATTCCTTAGTGCTATGAGGGGTGCTTGGAATTTTGGGGGAGGGAGCAGGGAGAACTGAGCAGCTAAGCCAGGTAATTTTGGCTGTTGTCATCACTTAAATATTTGCTGATATTATTGTCAAATAAGTTGCTATCTGTATTGCTTCAAGTAACTCAATACTGATGCTATAGCTATCATATACATAATGATAACATCTACTCACTGATTTACAGCTGTGATAAGAGGTTGCTTAAAAGTAGTATTCTATTGCAGTTTTCACAAATAATATTTATCTAACAGATTTTGAGTCTTTTGTTTCTCTGTCCGTGGAACATTCTGTACATTCTTATTCAGTGGTGATTAAAAATTTTGGATCCTGTCTGTTTTTTTATGAAGAGTTTTGAAATTAGTATAGCAGTAACAGCTAACTATTAAGGGATTAGGAGCAAAGGAACTAGATAAGATCTTTGTAGTGTTCCTGATTAAAAATCTCCAGTGGTCAATGAAAAAAAAGTCCTTGTGAAGAACATCCTTCTAGGGCAAAACACAAACCTGTAAGACTTAACCCTCAAAGATTATGGAATTTGGAAGATCAAGTTTTGTCCTAATATCTCTGCAGCTACTGAGCAATTTCATTTAGCTTTTCCCAATGTTACATGGCCATATGCTGTATCCAGAACTTGTTTCTAACATACCAAAAGCATTATGCTTCCAACATTCATCTGTTGAAAGAGCAATAAAACACGTTTTAATGAGCGTGACATAAAAAGGTTTGTACAAGACTATTTTTTTAAAGTGAAATAGTTTGCAGTGCCAGAAATTTGAAGTTATGTTAAGGCTTGTTCCATTTCGTGCTAGAAAGTCTTCAGCAGTTATGTTTTTAGAAGACTTAAAATATTTTCTGTTATAACTAACTTGCAACGTATTAATTGTTTCACATCTGAAAAAGCAGCAAAAATAATAAAAAAAATAAAATCTACAGGCTTCCTTTTGCCTTGTGTTCTCATATGGATTAGTAATATTTTGTTAAAATAAAACCTCTTCTTCAATTTTAAAAGATTGTTGTAGCCTTCCATATAGTTCTGTATAAAGTCCTTGATATGTAGAATATTTTCATCTGTTATTGCTAATTTTTCCTTTAGATGGCTTGAGAAGCTATCCCCCTTTTCACCTCTCAAGAAAGGGAGATAAAAAGGGGGGAGAATCTCATGCGTAGCATGCCTCTCTGAAGATAAATATTCTTTGAACACAGATATATTTACATCTATTGGTATTATTGACTTTTTTTCCTCATTTAGACTCTAACCTTTCTGACGGAGGTGGTGGTAGGGAGTATATGTGGATGCATTCTTCTGATTGGTAACTGAGTGTTGCTATCCATAATTTTCAGAAAGTGATCTTGGAGTTGCAAGTAGATTATGAAAAGTGCTGGACAACTTTCTGTCTCAGGAGAGTGTACTAATACAAAGTTAGAAGTGTAGTCTTCCTGTCTTTCTCCCTGGAAGAATAGACTGAAGAGTTAGAAATAAATTCATAGCTCCATGTTACTACAGTTAGGACTTGGTAACTTCGTTTTGTCCACAGGCCATTAAATTAGTAATTAACAATTATAAAACTGTAGGGAATAGTGGTGTTCTAGAAATACTCTAGAAACAGTACAAACTTCACATTCCATGTAAAGTACTATACTTTCTTGATGGTGTACTAGACGAGCAGTCAAGTTGTGTAGTATACTTGGTCATAATCTAATTTGACATGTATTTATTTTCCTCTGTACAAAAAGCATTCCAGCTTAGTTATTAGCATTTCACTCGTATCCTGCATTTAAAGAAGGAGTTTTCTCGAGATTAAACAGTCTTCCCCTTTTCTTCCATTAAAGGTATCCTATATTTGAGAATCCCTATCCTTTGACTATACATGAATCTCCAGTTACCTGTTGTGAATATTTTGCTGATTGTCCTGTGGACCTGATACCTGCACTGTATTCAGTTGGTGCTCGACAGAAGCGTCAAGGGTACAGTAAGAAGGTACAACATCTACTACATATTAGTAGATTTTAAAATACTGAGAATCAGCAGCTCTAAAGAACATGAGTGGCTATGCTTAAAACCAAAGCTCCATCTGACTCATCCTGTCTTTTACAGTAGCTAATAGCAGGTGTCTGGGGAGAATATAGCATATGTCAAGCCTTATAGTAATGTTTCCCTGATGTGCTCCCATCAATTGCCGTATCACTGGAAGCTAATGGACTTTCTAGAACAGGGGTAGTGTTTATACCCCTTGTTGATTTTTCTACATTTTTTTCTCTGCAGTGGATGTGTCTAATTACTTTTGAAGTCACATGAAATACTGGATTGTGCAGTATGTACAGTAATTTCAGTGGCTTAACTTTGCACTGTATGATATTTTGTTCCTAAGTGTGTTTGTTAATCTTCCAGGAATGGCCTATTAGTGGAGGCAACTGGGGTTTGGTCACTCAGAGCTATCCAGAGATAATTATTACAGGGTAAGTGATACCATTCTGTAGTAATAACTTTCTTAGCTGATTAAGTATAAGTGAGAATATTTTGTTCCTCTTTCAGGACATTGTTTTGTATGAGTGGTTTGAATGATTTATGAAATTATGTTCACCAGACAAGTCATTGGCATAATCTTGAGCCATTACCGAGAAAGTAAAGCAAATGTGGAAGAGAAGGTAGAAACAGATGTTTTACAGGGATTATTTTTTATGATGTGGTGTTGTGATTGTGTGCTTGTTATCAAAGTATCCTGGATCAAAGTGATCTTTTATTCTTTAATTTTTGGAAAAAAATTGTGTAGTGTTTTAAAGCAAAGAAAATCCGTTAAGCAGTTACTGAATTCAGTTCTCAAAGGGAAGCCAATTTTATATCTCAAGAAGAACAACCAAATAATTAAATCTGATCATTTTGAGACTGATCCTTCTAGTACAACTGTAAGGAACATAAGCAAAATTTAATTTATAACTGTACAGTGCGTCACTGAAAGTGAGAGCACCACTAAAGTTTTTTAGAACAGCCTATTAGCCCTAATGAGGATTACTGTCACTTTATACTACACATTTGCAGAGACTTTGAGAGACAGTCCTGAAAAAATCTAGTCATCTGATTCTCAGTTTCAAGGCTAAATAAACAAGTTAGGTGACTCATTTACAGTGAAATACTGTATATTTAGGCATCTTCTTTACAAGTGTTGCTCCTAATATAGGGCATCTCTTAAGAAACAACACATGGTAAGGTATGCCTCAGTATTTAAAGTGGTAAATTAGTATTAGTGCGGTGGAATCATGAGGGAGTTAGCCTCCAAATGTTTTTGTATTCCCTTCTGTCCAAAGTAATTGGAGCACATATTGCTAAAATTTTGCTTCCAATAAATTGGTAAAATTATGTGTCACTAAGAATGCTAATAAAAATAGAATGTTAATCATATACTTTCCAATCAGTAACAGAGGTCTAAGACTCCAACTAACCATTTTACCATCTTATTAATTTTTTAATATTTCATAGGCATGCTGATGGGTCAATCAAGTTTTGGGATGCCTCAGCAAGTAAGTGGTTTCAGTGGAGATTTTTTTCCTGTGCAGTAGGAGTTTTCTAAACTGAGTTCTCTAATGGAATGTAATTGCAGGCTAGTCGTTCTCCTTATTTCTTGCCTTCTGTAGAGTCAGTAACTTCACAGGAAATTTTGCTTTAAAATTAAATATAATCTTATTTCTTAGCTGTTTCGCTGTGTTTTGCCACCTCAGAGTAAATGCATTGGTAGCCCAAGGGCCAGTTAGAATGGAACAATCTTAAAATTTTTTAGAAGCCCCTTTGATAGTATTGTTGACTATAGAGATGCATGACAGGCAAATGTATTCCTTTTGAGTACAATTAAATTTCATTAAGTTATTTTTGTCTTTTTAGACAGTAGAGAGGCATGTGTTAAGACCATCAGCTCTCCATAAATCACAGTATCTAAAAATGAGAATTGAAACTACTAGAAGTTTTTGTTAGCAAAATGATTTATGCATCTGTGAAGAAAGGCAGGAGAACAATAAAACAAAGACACTTTTCTTTGGAAGACTCAATAGGCCTGAAGAGTCTGATACCATTTTACATTTGTCATCTGCAGTTAAAAGGGTCAAATGCATCTGATGGTCTACACAGCTCACAGTGAGAAATGCAGTAAGAACTCAAAGTAGAAATGACTGCACAGACTTAGAGTTTTTTTACATTGATCTAGTTATGACTAACCTTGTTCTTGGTGCTTAAAAGCTGTTTAAAGCAATCTTGGAATCATCATCAGTTGTCTTTGAAAACTTGTGGAAAACTGGTGAGATTCCAAAATGCTAAAGCGTGTGTGGTTGTGGGAGGGAACAGATGCAAAGTATATGTTTAAAAACTGGGAGGAGGATGATTTGGAGCATTATAGATCTTTAATTTCAGTTTAGGGTGGGAGTGGAACCTTGGGGGGGAGGGGAAGACAAACCTGATTGATTCTATGTGGGTAAAAAACCTATTCAGCATAGATCTGTCAACAGGAGATCCTGTTGAAGACATTTAGTTTATTTCTAAAATAGATAAATAAACCTGTTAAGAAAGAAACTTGCAAGTATCCTCTGTCTTGATTTTTAAACTTTTAAATCTCTGTAATAGGAAATTCTTACAGGTGGACTAGGGAAATGTGGTTCAGGTAAAACCACTGAAATACGGAAGAGGAGAAAGGATGCTATAATTTGTGTTTTCCTAATGTTGTGATTAGTATTTATAGAAGTGATTTGGGGCATTGACTGGGGATGTCTGTGAAGTTTGAAAGCAGCATGGAGAAAGTGGAAAGAAAATGTAGTAAAGAATTACAAGTACAGCCGAGAAGGATACTGTTCAAAAATTAGCTGTATCAGAGATGATTTATTTGCATATAGTATCAGTAATCTACACTTAGAACTTAGTTTCTGGGAAAAGTGGAGGTTTCATGAATTGCAGTCTGTGTTGCATACTGTGATAATTAAGTGGGAATGTCAGTAAAATCAACATGGAGTAACTTGTTCACATTTTAAAACTGGAAAGATCTTACTAGAACAGTTCTAGGAAACTTTGTCATCAAAAATGTGGACTGATCAGAGGGCAGCACTTTTGAACGATCATACAAAATAAACTATAAATTGGAGGAACTGAGACTTAAGTGTGAGTGCACAGGAGACAGGCCATGGATTTGAAATATTTGAAGAAGAAAGAAAAGAAGCTTCACTTTCTCTGCCATAGATATGATTAAGTTGCATATATGGCATATGTAACTAGAGGTTATTGTTATAAAGAGATCTCTAAGTACAGTAAAGCCTTGAGAAGCTGTGAGAGCTTAGTTTATAACTGTAGCTTATAAACTAATCCAACACTCAGAAGATAAGCGTTGGGCTGTTTTTTATGCTAATTGATCCTGTATTGATCAAGTGGTGCACTGCATGGGCAGAGGCAACACAGAAATTTACTTTGTCTACTCTGCCCTCTTTTGTTGAATATGATAGTTTTATCTCTGAAGACAAGTCAATAAATTTAAAAATAACAAGAGAAAAATACCTGTTTAGATCAAAGCTAATTTTTATCTCTTTTACTTTGTCCCTAGTAACGCTGCAAGTACTCTACAAGCTAAAAACAGCCAAAGTATTTGAAAAATCACGGAATAAAGATGACAGGCCAAACACAGATATAGTAGATGAAGATCCTTATGCTATCCAGATCATCTCATGGTGTCCAGAAAGCAGAACGCTGTGCATAGCTGGAGTTTCTGCACATGTCATTATTTACAGGTTCAGCAAGCAGGAAGTGACAACAGAAGTCATTCCGGTAATTAGTACATCCATTTTTGACTTTGTGGGATTTGGCTATAATAAGAAAGTTCTAGCAATTTACTACTTTGTTGTCTTTCATTTTATTAGTGGAAGGGACAAAACCAATTGTCTCAAAACCAAGAGATGTGGTTTTCTGGAAGAAAAGTAATAGTTTCAAATCTTGCACACCAAAACACTGGTTTTCAGTGGCTTTTTCAGGTTTTTGCATCCAGTAATAGTACTTTGTCTATCTATCAAAGTGAATAGTGGATCAAAACTTGGCTTTATCAAAGGTAAAATGATAACAGAAGTGAATAAGGTGTGGAGTTGCAGAATTTCAAAGCTTTTAGGGAGTTGATTTCTTGTTTCCTTGATTCCTAGTAATTGCCATCTGTCCTGTCAAACTCGTGCAGTATGCAGAGCTAGAAGAGAGAGTGTGCCAAACATGCCCTGAAGTCTGTTAAGGACTTTGCTGTGTCATTGTTTTATTCTGTATGAGGTACAATGATTCTATTACAAGAGTTTGAGAAGTCCTTTGCTAAATCAGACACACACAAACAAATTTGCTTGTTTGAAAGTATGAGCTAAAAGCTAATTTGAAGCTGTTTAATTATAAAATCTATGTTTGAAGTAAAGTATTAATCATAATGTAGCTGTTTTTTTCTCCCACCTCCTCTCTGAGACACATACACACACACCCACCCTCTCCCTATTCTGCTCCCTTTGGGTAAGTCTTCGGTTAAGGACCTGAGACATGGGGGCTTTTTCCTTCCACTGTTTACTTATGTACAAGTAGATTCCCTTCAGAGGAAGTAGTTTATCTAAACAGTTTTTATGAGTCACCCCTAGAAAACTATTCTTCAGCACTAGGAGTGTTTTAAAAATGACTACATTGTTCTTCGTTTCAGTCCATGAGTAAGTTCTACTTTGCAGATGATGAAAATAAAGCGGCAGAAAACTGTTTACGCTGCGCTGCCATTAATACTAATATTGTTACAGACCCAACAGAAGGAAATCTGAAGTTATGATGAACTTAGTTCTTTAAAATGTATGATCTAGTTCCGCACAAAATCAAACGCTGTAGTCCCATATGTACAGTGTCACATAAGGTGTAGCTGTCCATGTGCCTTTAGCACTGTTACACCATTCTTAAATTATGAAAACCAAGTCATCATCAGAACTGGGAATTTATGTCAGCAGAATGATAATTAAATGGTGTCATATCCAGTATTTAATTGCTTTCCAGTATTAAGAAGCAAACTTTTAAATACTGGGAAGTATGTCAGATTTTCAAGTTTTAGCAATCCTCAGATATTTGATCTGTGATAATTAATATGACTGTGTGTTTCTGAGGATGATGTGTGTGTTTAGGTTGCACTGTTTATTAAATTACCATTATCTTTCAAAAGATGGAGGAGTCCTGGTGTCACTCTTGTCACTAGTATCTTCAGTTGCACTTCATCTATTTCATACCTGGTTTTTTGAAAGGCAGACTTAACCGATAATTTTTTTACCTTAACTAACAGATGCTGGAAGTACGTCTGCTATATGAAATAAATGATATTGAAACTCCAGACGGTGAGCAGGTGCCACCAGTGCCAACTCCAGGCACAGGTTCCAATCCTCAATCCATTGTTTCCCAGTCTCATCCATCTACTAGTAGCAGTTCGTCTGATGGACTTCGTGATAATGTCCCATGTTTAAAGTAGGTATATTCTGTTACACTTCTGAGTATGAAACTTTACAGGAATATGTGATTCAAATATATATACTTCGTTATTATTATCATTGCTGGTGAAAATGTGCTATTTCCTAGAGCAACATTTTCCAAATATTTGCAAGTTGAGCTCTGTTTAAGAAACAACTATAGCAATCTTAGTTTCTTTAAAATTCATTAAGCTGATTTTTGAAAAGCAGACAATCCTTACCTTACGATTTGCGTGTTTTAGGAAAATTAGGCATAGGTGTTAGTATAGTTCTAGAAAATGTTTTAGAGCAAACATTTGTCAATAGCAGCGATTTAGTCACTTTGATATCTCATTGTCCGTAGAATTGAATAGGAAACTTGATGCTTTGTGGCTCTCCTTAACCTTAGGCCAAGTATGTCTGAATATATTTCATCTGTTACTTTTCCAGAGCCTTAGGTTTTTAGAGCCAAATCAAAAGTGGTAAAAAATCTTACAAATAGCTAGCTGAATGGTAACTCTTTTGTTTTAGAATTATTTTTTTTTGGTAACCCCTCAGGGGAACTACTTGGTATTTTGGAAACAGAAATAAATAAATGTCCCATTGTCATGGATCTTCACTTTGCATGATGCCTCATAGTGCTCACAATGAAGGTCTTTGGCCAGTTTTTAGATCTTTTTTAACTGGGATAATTTTTTTCTGTAAACTTCTTTGTGTGAGCTTTTACTCCTTCTAGAAATTAAAAGAAGACAATCTTGTAGGGTTTTGTAACTCTTCTAGAGGAGTGCATTTGAGATGTCTGGGCCATCACCTGTTTCTGATAGAATGCAAGAAATATGAATGTCTTGCGGATACAAAATTCAGTATGTACTTTTTGTTGCCTGAAGTTTTAAGGCCCCAACTTGGATTTTAATTTTTTGAGCCTATCCATCCAGAAAATAACTAATTCTGATGGGCTTGCTCTATCTGGATGAGAGTTTTCCTGTCATATTGATTGCACTGAGTTGCAGAAGTGTGTTTCTAAAGAAAACTGGACTGAGTAGAAAAGGTAGAAAATTCTTACGTAAAATATTGACAAACCAAAAATGCCTCAATGTAAATGAATGGGTGAAAGAAGAGGAATTTGGGAAACAGAGGAGTTTGTTCTACGTAACTTTTATCCCCCCCTTAAAAAATTAAAGACCTAATGCTTTCTGTTGGACATCAGTAAGTTTGTCAGCATACAAACAAAATCTTTCCAGGAGCTTCAATTCCCACACACTCAGGTTGATTGCATACAACTGGTCTACCATTACAATAACTTACTTAATTTCATTTTCCTTCTACAAAATCATCAGTTTTTTGTTTGCATTTGTCTCAATACATTGTGCTTTCGTTTCCCTTTTCAGTATGTTTTTATTCCACAAGCACCTCTCACCCCATTCCATTCTCCAAATCAGAGTTCTTTTGGGAACTCTGAAAAACAATGGGTAACACATTTTTTAGACACTGACTGAACACCTTTATTCAAGGCAATAAGCATATTATCACTATTATGCCTTGCTCTGAAGATGTGAAAAAGTAAGTATTTGTGATCATTGTTCAATTAATTTTCAATTAAGCAGTGAATCAAAAGGGCCCCTAAAGAAATGAATGATCAGTTTCAATGTGGGTTTTTCTTCTGGTTGCTTTTATGTATTTGTGATCATACTTCTTACAATTTTCCAACTTTAGGAAGGCCACTGTGATAGAATTTATTGAACTCTGAGCCCATAAGGAAAAATTGGAGACTACAGGGTGGCATAAAAAGACACCATGTTTTGTTTGCTTTGCAGAGTTAAAAATTCTCCTCTTAAGCAGTCTCCTGGCTACCAAATTGAGCTAGTTATCCAGCTAGTGTGGGTGAGTGGAGAACCTCCTCAACAGATAACCAGCTTAGCAGTCAACTCAGCGTATGGCCTGTAAGTATATTCTACACAGTCTTTTTTCATTACTCTGTCGAAGGGGGTTAAAATTGTCCATTAATCATTCTCTTTGTGTGTTCACATGAGCTGCACAGCAACACAGTCTCTTGTGCTTACAAGATAATTCCTTTTGGGTCATGGCAGATCCTGATGATGCTAACAGCTGAAGCAAATCAGCATCACTCTCGCTCACTTGGCACTGTACAGCCAAGAGTTTAAGGCCGTCAGATAGTAAAATGACAATGATCTGTTCTACTCAGTGTCTTATTTTTACAAGAGAACAATTAAGCAATACTGTATTGTAGAATAGTAATTTATAAATATGTGCAATCTAGGATAATTTGTAAAAACTAGGAAGCCTTAAAATGCTGGACAGTAGCAAATATTGATACAAAACTTTACTGATATTTAATTACCACTGTCTTTCCTTCCACTTCTCTTTTTCCAGAGTAGTTTTTGGAAACTGTAATGGCATTGCCATGGTTGATTACCTCCAGAAGACAGTGCTGTTGAATCTAGGCACTATTGAACTGTATGGCTCCAATGATCCTTATCGCAGGGAGCCACGTTCTCCCCGAAAAGCTCGGCAACCATCTGGAGGTGAGTAACCCAAAATGTGTTTTAACCTTAGAAGAAAGGCAGAGTTGGTTATCTAGTCTATTAGTGTATTTTCTTTGAATACAATGGTAATTTTCTCCACTGCGGTTTCATCCTTTCTTCTTGATCTGTCCCTAAATGTCACAATTGCAGGTTTGTTAATTCATGTTTGCTTAAAAATTGTTGCTTAGTGGAATCTACTGATACTTGAGATCATTGCTTATTTTTTCAGGGTAATAGATGATTTAAAAAAAAGCTAATTGGAAAATTGTGTGAATATATACAAGTATAAATGTTCAATGCATTTATGCAGTTTACAAGAATATAACACAGCATGAAGAATTATAACTACTTTCATATTTCTGATAAAGGTAGTACCCATATCATGTGCTGGTGTAAACCCATTAATGTTGCAGATCGCCAGTGTGTCTGCTGGGATCTTTAGCTTCCTGTTTCAAACTTTGACTAGAAATGTCCCTGATAACCTAAAGCATGTTGTGTTGTTTATGCTGTTATGTTATGCTTGAGAGGAAGCCTTTCATTTAAATGAACCAAATAAGCTTCCAAATACAAACTGGCAAAATAAATCTGTCTTTGAAACAAAAACAAACAATAAAAAAACGGACTTTGATTTAAAAATAAGAAGTGTTCTTTTTTTGGCTGAGGAGGAAAGTGACTTTTAAGTCAAAATTTCAAGCTTTTTGTTGCCAAAACAAAAATTTAGTATTTTAAAATTTTCTTCTCCTTGATGTGTCATGGATTCTCCTAACCTATTTTGGAAGACAGCTAAATACAGAATGACAAACAGTGTCACTGCTGCCCCAAATGATTATTTTTTGATAGGAAATAAACTGTTCAAAAAAACCCCTTCTTCATGCTTTAATATTGATTTCTGTAAAAGGTTCAGAATAAAGTCCTGGTAAGTTCTTTAAGTAATATTTTCTTCAAATTGAAGTGAGTGTTCAAAGATGTGTATTAGTAAATGGTTGGTTTGAAAAAGATTCAGTTAGCACCGGTCAGCTTATTTCAGCTGAGGAAACTGATCTGAAGTTTGTCATTATAGAGCAGAACACAGAGTTTTTATCCTGTCAGGTAAAATATTTGCTTTCTATGAACTTATAAAATTACTTTGAGAGAGAGAACTTTACTGGTTGACTGTATTAATTTGTCTTGGGAGTAAAGGACTTAAATTCTGCTTCAAGCATTTAGATTATAAACAGCCTTTTTGAGCATTGAATATCACTTGCTTTGTTTTCTTAGTTTTTGTTATTTTAATGTATTGGATCCACATAACTGTGTGTTTCAGCTGTGTCTCAGATGTTCATGATTAAAGTCCTTTTTGCTCATGAATGTAGCTGTTACATGAAATCATATTTTTTTTCATCTTAACTTCTAATACTAACAGTCTGCATGGCAAGAGCACTTTAAAAACCTGGTTGTACAACTTACTGGGCTGGCTTTTCTGTCTGAAGTGTACTGTTAGTATCTCCGTCTTTCCTTTTCTCATTGCTTCATAAAGGTATGCTGACTGTGGCTTCTTGCATGTGCGGCCTTTCTAACTTATATTCAGAGTCTGTGAAAAAGCTTCGCACCTCTTATATAAGTAAGTCATCTCATGACATTCAAATGTTTTTGAACATCTGAATTTGATTTTTCAATTTCTTCACTCACCATAAATATCTCTTAGTCCATTTTAACTAATTGCTTTACTTTTAGAAACCGATTTTAATCCATCACACATCTATTGTATTTCCTGTTCATGATATCTTTAAAAGAAACGTGAAGGAAAAAAGCAACTGTAACAGTCTGTATTTTGTGTTTTTAAATAAATACCAAAATCAGAAGGAGATCCTATCTCAGAAGTTACAGATGTTTACAGGCGCAAGATCTTACTCACAAATTTAGTGTTGTTTTACTAGAAGCTTCCCTTGCTTGGTTCCCTTTCTGGCAGCAAGGGCTTCAGAACTCTAGAGTTAGAGGATTACTAGTGTTAAGAATAATAAACATTGTGACAAACCATGATTTGTCAACTAAAATGAAAATTTACTTCTACAAAGATGTTGTTCATAGGGATTTAAGAGTGGAGGTGTTGGTGTATTGCAGAGCCCTGTGTGGTTTCCAAGCAGTTTTGGATTTCAGGTATCTGTGTGAGGGAGGTAGCCCATCAGAACCATGATTTGCCTGAGAGATTATATGACTTATGAAATCATTCACAGCATCCAAGAACTTGGAGAACGTAAAGCTTATTTTTCTAAAACCGTAACATTGTTCCTTTCCCTAGGATGCCTTTCTCCAGCCCCTGGGTAGAGGTAGGTAATATCACCCCATTTTTAAAATGAAGTAGAATAGGATAAAACTAAGCTACAGGAAGAATGGAGTTAAAACAAACAAAAAACCAACAAAAACCAAACAACCAGAATTTGAAATCATGGTCCAATTCTTAGTTGTGCTATTTTTTCCCCCAACAAGCAAAAAGAAATACATTTCATAGGGCAGTCCCCATAGCCAAATACTGCTTTCTCTACAGTCTTTCATCCTCTGCTGACAAGGTAGAAAGGGAGCTAGGCATAAAAGAACTGCCTCCACCTTATGATGATCCAGAACTGAAAACCAGGATCTAGCACTGATTGATTGTTTTGAAGAGAAGCAAAAGAAATCCCAGAACTAGTTTCTGAAACCAGAGGTTCTAAAGCTAAATTTACCTGGACCATTTTATTTAGGAATAGATTAAAGCAAGTTTTGTACAAGAGTTAATTTCTCAAGCATGTGGTTCTTTCTGTCTGTCATTGTGACCATGTCTTGATTAGCTGAAGCTACAGTCTTTTTTAAAACTGAAAACTATTTCCCTATTTATTTAATATTTCTCATTATTTGTAGTACTTTCAATGTATGTGACTTCAATAATTTAAATAATAAAGTATTATTGCTGTATAATTTTTCACAAATAGTAAGTCTTAACATTTAAGCACTACCCTTTATTATAGGATTGGAAGTATAAGAGATAGAACACTTAGATTTTGCATTCACCCTTTCTTGGACATCAATGACTGCATTTAGTGTTTGTAAAAATGCAAGGAACTTATGCTTCCTTGGTTTTATTTTAAAAGACATGCCTTTGTTGAGTTCATTATCTTGACAAAATTTGAATTTTAATACTTCAAAATTATTTTTTTATGCATAAGACTTTTTCCACTGCTGTACAACTCTAATAATCATCAGGGAGTATTAGTACTTAATTTGCAAATCTTCCTGGAAAAAGTGCATGTCTGTGTAATGCAGTTGTCTTAGAGAAACTGAATATATTTTGATTCTTTGAGACAGCAGTGTATTTAGGGAAAAAAAATTCACACTACCCTATACATGCATTCAGTTCAGACAAGTTCTTAGTTAGTTACATTAAATTCACATTCAGGCAGCATGCAACAGAGCAGCATACTGCTATTGTACATAGTGTCCCAAATTTGGCTGATCTGAAAACTATTTCAGTATGGGAGGGGTGAGTAGGAAAACATTATTCTCTGTTATTCAGCCCCTTCCAAAAAAGGCAGAAAGGATTGGTCCTTCCTCAATAGGAACTCTGCTTTCTCGATGTTTCATCTTAAAATGTCAATTGAATAGTTTGTTAGCCTCTGTAATGTATTTACGATTTAGTTAATGGTGTGTCCTTAATCAACCAACTGAAAATTTTCAAAGACGTTTTTAAAAAAAAATTCATAGAGTTACATATCTTCTAAAATATGAATGGAAATGCGAGATTTTTTCCCGTCACTTGTGTTGCAAGAATATGATGTATGTTTCTGTCATCTTATTTTTTCTACTCAGAGAAGAAATTCAGATTCCCGTCTTAAAGCAGCATCTATTTAGAGACAAGGCTCTCTACACTAGCTAGACTGTAAACTGTCATTTCAGGCTAGCTCTACAGATACAAGCTCCCAGTTGGGATCGTGTTTTGGAATTTATCAGTGATTCATACCAGGTATATTACTCACATGTTTTGGGTGGCAATTTATAGTTTGTGGAGCATGCAGTGTATGTGTTTTGTTAAGGCCTGCTAGACAGTGTCATCAGGTGCTTGTCATGGTTATTACAAAGCTAGTTTTAGTTGTAATTTTTAATTAGGCTGGTTTGTAGTGAAGTTGTAGGTTCTTTGGAAACATGTCTCCCTAAAGCTTGTGTGAAAAACTGACAAAAGTCCCATGAAACTACTTTATACATCATTTCAGCTGTAATTCTAGGAAGTTTTTGATGCAGCATGGTATGGACACCTCTCTCACCAGAGAACTTCTCCAGAGCTGTCTTACTGCCAGTGCTTCTATCAGGATACTTTGGGTTTTAAGATGAGCAGCAATAGATATTTTGACACCAGTTTCTTCTTCTCACTGGTCATGGACAAACCCTGTTAGCTTGTAGACTTAAGTGAGATCATTCTTGGTGTTCTCAGTTATAGTTTAATTATTAACACAGTCATGGGTAAAATTACTTTTCATCTATTCCTGTTCTTTCTCTCTTAAATAATAGCAGTGATGGCTATGATCAGATTTTCAAGGTTTATGTGCCATAATGGTTGTCATAATACACACTTATTCTTTCATGGAATAAATCTTATCTAATGCATAAAATTAGTGCCTAGGTGTCGAGGGAGTGTTTTGTGGTTTTTTTTGGATCAGTTGGTCAGAGTTATTAATTAAGATATGTTAATCAAGCCATAGCCTCAAGTCTTCTTACAAAGAAATCAAGCATGCAGGTGTGTGACTTCATTCTTGGCTAAACACTATTCCTGTCAGTTCATGAGTTTTCATAGGAGAACTAGTGCAAGAAGATAAACTCTTCTTTAAAGTAAAGAATTAAAATATTTACAGAAAGGAGGAAATGAAGTTCCTGAATGGTGTTTTGGGATTTGTTCATTTTGGCTCCTGAAGGAGCAACTACTTCCAAGAAAGAGCACAGCACATGTTTATCCTCCCAGCACTCTTACTATCTAAAACTTCTATTGCATGTTGTCAGAGCAGCATCAGGATTTTTGTAAAATCATTTTACACAACCCTGTCAAAACATTTAGATTCCCATGTGTGTTTAAAACTCTGGTACTTTAAGAGATTTGATCATACTTGGAGAATATGTACCATGATTATCCCATAGTGTTCATTGATTTACTGCTACATACATTTCTTTTCTTTCTCCCGTGTAGTGGAAATATTAACATCCACCTGGAATTTAAATTGGTTCCTGGACTGTTAAGCATAGGCTCTAACAAAGCCCTAAGGTCGTTTGACAATGCAGTGTCAATTCTAGTCATTGACTTCTGAGGTTCAAGCTGCACATGCTCTTAGTAATCTCAAAAAATAATAATTTTGATAAATGAAACCCATGAATGCAACATACTCTCAATGTGTTCCATATTGATATGATATTTCAGGAGAATATTTTTTCCTTTAAACTATTGCCTTCTGGTTTAGTGTTTGGAAACTTTAAAGCTTTTATAGAAGAATAGAGATGGGTTTATATTTTTTGTTTGTTAACAGCTATGTACAGATGCACTTGTGCATCTGTAGTGTCCAGCTGTATAGACAGGTTTTCCATGTGATGCCTTTGTTGCCTTAGCCATTGCCATTACACCTCTCAGACCTTTTGACTGTTGGAAATATTTGTGTGCATGCAAAACCCGTTACTTTTAACAAATATTTCATAGCTGTTACTGTTAAATATTACATGCTTGTTTGCCTTTGTATCACATCATGAAATTTCTGAAGGAAAATTTTATGATACAAACCTGAAGATGCATTTCTAACCTTAAAATATCAATGAAGTTCACTTTTTTTAATTGTGGGTAGCCTTGACAGCACTTTCTTGTCAGAAAGGGAAAAAAATAGAAAACTTTTTGGTATACTTCTAGTTAGTGCTATGAAGTAATACTTAGGACCCTTATGAGGCAACTGCCATGTTTAGCATCTGATTGTGTACTACTAGGCTTTATTTCTTTTACTGGAATGAAAGGAATTGTTTTTCAGATGTTAAATTACTGCAGTTATTCAAATTATCAGATTTGATGATGTAAGAATTATAGCAGCATTCTCCATATAAGGCAGAACACCTTCATAAGCACCCTAAGACCTGAATTCTGTAAGTGACATCAATAAGGATTTTTTTCTGGAAAGTGAACTTGGCAATGCAAATTGGCAAGTACACAGCATATCACTGTAACAGTGGGAAAGTAGTTTGCAAAAAGGCACTGTAGTTTCACACATCATGTGTTTGTAGTCCTCAAAATGCTCTTTCATCTCATTTTCTTTTGCAATTGCGTTTTTAATATAACTTTGATTTATTTTTTTTTCAAAACAAATTAGGTTTGTACCTAATATGTCTATCTATAGTTTGTAAGTAATTAGGTGTTCTGATAAGTCTCTTGCTGAAAATACTGTGCTTTTCACAGAAATTTAATGAGGGAGTATATTTTGCAAAGAAAACTTTAGTAGGAAGAAGTGACTCTACAGTCACTGTGGGTAATGTAAAAAAATAAGGTAATATGTAACAAATTCTATCACAACTGACTTGTTTGTATCTAGTAAGAAATGAAATTCCTAACTGCAGTGGAAGTAAGAATAAAGCAGTGGCTCTATTTATAATACACTGGTTTTGTTTCATCAGGTCTCTGTGATATTAATGAAGGTACAGTGGTGCCAGAAGACCGCTGCAAGTCACCCACATCAGGTAATCATAACTTTATCTTCAGCTTCTTACTGTCCTGGGTGGCAGCATGTATTAAGTCAACACTTACTAGTTAAGTAATTATATAAAACCTATTGTCCTTTCACAAAAGATTTGAGCTGTCATAAATTTTGCTTTGTTGCACAACTGGGTTTTTAAAATGAGGCTGATTTAAGAGATGCAATAGGAATCAGTCATAAAGATGAGTGAAGAGAGATAGAAGCTGAAATATTTATGCCTCGGGGAACATACTGCACATTGGAATTTTGAAGCATTGACAAGAGATGCACAAATTCCTGTAATAGTTCATGTGATGGTGTTTCAGAGCCCTCAAAAGTGGTAAAGATTATTTCTGTAAAATGTACAAGTTTACTTCTGCTTCTTCAGAAACTGGTATCCTAGCAAAGTAAGAGTTCCCTAAGTAATACTCTTCCTCTCCCCCCATTTATTTTTCAGTTGCTGCTAATGTATGTGACTTTAAAATTAAAGATTCCGTATATAATACTATTGAATATTTTATTTAGTATTGGCTAGTTGGGGCTATAGCCCTGTAAATACTTAATAGTGCATATCAATATGTAGTATTAGAGGTGTATATTTCTTGTAGTTGCTAAAAATTGTCACTTCACATACTACTCAGAGCTTTTAAAGATGTTATTTTGTTTCATTCAAAGCTTTACTCAAAAGTAAAAGTAAAGGACTAAACTGCAGGTTGAAATCAAGTATGTAAAGTAACATGTGCAAAGCAGTGCAAGAAGGTAATCCAAGATGGAAATCTAAAGATAGATTCCTTTTCTGTTATAGCCTGTATCTTTCAAAGCCAAGTGGAAAGCATAACAAAACAAAATATACTGTTTGTAGCTCTAGTAGAAATTTTAACATAAATTTTAATTTCTGATTTGACAACTCCTGTCTTTTGATGTTAATTTTAAGTTGTGCAAAACTCTTGTCTAGATCTATCAATGTCATTTTTTGTTTTGCTATGTCTTAGAGTAAATTGGATTTATTTATAATTAAAGCAAAACTTGGCTGAGAATTTTAATTAAAAGTCCTAACCAAAGATGTTATTTCATGACAAGCCTGTATATTGTTAAGTATTGACAGGCTGAAGTCCTCAACTTCAGCATCATTTCTAATGAAAGCATTTTTGTGGTGTTTAGAATAAAGTGCATCTTCCCTATTGCGTTCCACCAATGTATGTAAACAATTTGCTGTGCAGTGCTGCAGTTGCAGTAAATCTCTTTCTCTGTCAAGACTGAGGATAATTATCAGTGTTCCTAAGGCATTTGAATTTGACCCACTTAAAAAGTCCAGGCTAAGTCTTGTTTCTGGTAGACTGCTGTAAAATGTGTACAATGAGCAGCTAAAGAATTGTAACCATTAATGTGTGTCCTTTTTTCCCCCTTGCTCCAGCGTCACCCAAATGTCAGCCCAAACCACTTGCACTTAAAACACTCTGTAGTTTGAATTAGAGGGTTTCTTTCATAATTTGAAGTAGAGCAAAGCACTTCACCATTTCCACTAACAGTGCAATGAAGACAAGTCCAAAGATGAAAATCAAGGTTTATGGAAACCCTCTATTTTTTAAAATTTTCTTCCCCTCCTCTGTTTATATCCCTCCCTCCTGTCTGAGTTGTGTGAGCTGAAATAGGTTAAAAATTAATGAAATTTGGATTTTTCTTTAAGAGGATCAAATAACGAGACAACTTAGAATAGATAAATTCAAGTGTCCTAAAAGGAAGATGAATTAGATGGAAATTTGTAATCATGAAGGGATAAAATTCAATCTCCAATTTGAGATGTCTGAGGATTAGTATTTTAAAGTTAGTTCATTTTAGAATAAATTCTAGAAGATTGGAAAACTGAGTTTCTGTGGAGTTTTCCTTTTGAAAAAAAAATACGGAGGGAGACACCTCCCTGATAAAGAAATCAGTTAGTGATGTTTTGAAGAGAGAAGAACTACAATTTCTTAGCTTTGGTTTAAGTTTTTTATCTTTTCTGAGCAACAGTGCAAAACAGGAAAGAAGCTTGAAAATGCCACTTAGTTTTCAGAGCTAAAAGAGGACATTTTTGAGACATCAGCTACACAGTATTGGTGAGATTGAGAAGCAGGATGGAGGCTAGATTTAAATACACTTTTTCCAGTCTAGAGGCTTTCAAGAGGAAAATACACGAACACAAAATGTTTGCACATTACTAGCTTTAAGATTGGAGGATAGGATTGGCAATTAAGTGCCTTATTGGTTTTGATGGTTACAATATGATCTGTAAAACAGACCAGTCACTGTTTGGACTGAAGTCTGCATTTGCTGAAATGATCTAAATCTTCTACTTTTCCATGTCCAAGTTAAGAGAAGTGGAAGCTAATTTCCATTACACTTCCTCCAGTGGGTGGTTACATAGCTGAGAGAACTGCAAAAGGGTCTGACTGCCCATGCAAGTTAGAGTATCCTACAGTTTCAGTAACACAGAACTGCAGAAATACTGTGAAAATGCAAGAGAAATAGTAACATTATCTCCTGCTTTTCCTATAGAAGTCAAACAGTAATATGCTTAGGCTTCAGGGGGATTTATTTGATCCATAAAACATTATATAGCATTGTAGACTGTCAAGTTTTTGTCTTCATGAGTGCCACAGTTTTTGCATTCTATTCTTATTTTACACTTCCATAACACAAAATCCAACTAAATTTGGAAATTTTTAGTTGAATTATGTTTAATTTCCTGGCAATGTTTTAATTTTATGACAATGGTAAGCCTGAATTTGTGGTCTGTAGCCACCACTGGTTTTTTCAGTGTTAGGGGTGCAGAAAAGTCCCAAGCGGCAGCATTGGCTCAGAGTTGTCTGGACAATAGCTAAAGAGTTGTTGCCCAACAGTGACTTACTGCATTGGAAAAAAACCAAATGGATTTATGGAACTTGAGTTTGTTACAGCAGTGTTTTGTGAATTACAATTTAGATTAAGCTTTGTGTCTGGAGTCGTGATTAGTACAGCCAGTTAGTTATTCAATGTAAACATTTATGTAATGAGGGAAATATTTCTAGCAATAAACTTGCTGCAATGTGCAACGCTGTACCTTGCATTATCATTTTTGTGGTTAGTCTTAATGTGGCAGAATTCTTGTCATACCAAAATAATTAGGACTTTATAGTATCCAGTACAGCTACAGGTAATACCAGTATCAGTATTTGATATTTTAATACACCTTTCTATCTTCATTAAACTCAAAGCTCGTTTTAATACATTGATTTTGTGTCAAAGATATATCCATTTCATTCACGTCAAATGTATATCCATTTCATTCTGTCTCCACTTGTAGGTTCTGGTTCACCAAACAATTCTGATGATGAACAAAAAATGAATAATTTTATAGAAAAGGGTACAGTATTTTTCTTTTCTCTAGTCTTATTTTTCTTCAGTTCACCTTTTGATACACTTAGATTGATCTTTTTTATTGAAATATTATTTACAGTGAAGACCAAAAGCAGAAAGTTTTCCAAGATGGTAACCAATGACATAGGTAGGAACTAGAAAATTCTACTCTTTCTAATCCAGTGCCTCGCTCTATGCAACACTAACCCAGCAGCAAAAAAAAAAGCAAAATAACAGTCAAATTTCAATGCATTAAGTTATTAATTTTTCTTTATGCAAATTGGTAATTCTATACTAAATATACTGGGCACAATATTTTTTTAAAAAAATCAAGGATATTGGTGGTTTAAATTCTCTGATTTTACTATTGCGCTTCTCTATTTTTCTAATTGGGTGAAATTCTAATACATAGTAAGAGTTCAGTCTATGCAAGTCACAACATTATTCCACTCTTTTTGCAAAGGTACATTCTCCTTGAGACCATGTGGCTCATACAATTTCTTTTCATGAGTTGTATTCATAGCCATGTGGTCAGATTCTTATACGACTACAGTCAAGAGAGAGGTGGTATCATGGTTTCATTTATTCATCTGGAAGAGAACTTGGCTGTATACATAAGTGTACCCCATTGGTATTCCAGAACTCTTTGTTTTGTGCATCCAACAGTAACTCAATACCCTATCAGCTCTAGACTTGTCTCGTAACAATTTGGCAACAAAATTGCCCTGGGATATGTTGTATGCAGGTAGATTGAACCCTTTTATGATTGGAATGAAATAACTCTGCTTCTGACAAGTGGGTCATTAAATAAGTGAAGGTGAGAGGCTGTATGATTAATTTTGGGGAAGGGATTCTTCTTACTTGGCTGGGATATGGTTACTTCCATTACAGAATCTTTGTGTTAATGGTTCATTTTGTTTTCTCTTAGTAAATTTGTATATCTTTGTAGGATGATTTAATTTTATCTCATCAGTCAGTTTAGGTTGAAATGACTTTATATAACTGTTTACTAAAAAAATATTTCATAGGTTCTGTGGAACCATAGGTTAAGACTAGGGAGGAAGAGATTTCTTTTCCTGCTGTCTCCCTGTGATTTTTCTGTTTGGCCATTTAACTTTTATCCTAAACCACTAATCCCTTTCATTGCAATTCAGTAATTGAGACAAATAATCATTCAAAACTCAGACAAATATGACAAAGCAAGAATATGCCCTATCTACAGTATTATGTTGAGCCCTTTATGCAGTGATACCAGAAATGGTAGGGAAGATGAGTTCTAAGGCAGCAGAAGCCTGAATATAGTTCAAGAAAGCAAATTGCTTATGTTGATACATCTGTAATTTTTAAAAAAAAGAGTATGTTTTACATGAGCATTAATATGTTCCCTTAAAAGAAATTTAGGGTAATTAGAACCTAATGTCTTCCAATGAGACAAACAACTCTTAATCTTGTGCATGTTGTATCAGTCTGTTGAAGCAATGTGTTCCCTTTTGTTGCTTCTGAACATAAGACGCCCTGTCTTGCGCAAAACACACCGAAAGCTTGACTCTGACCTCCTGTATGTTTTCCCCACGCTTTTTTCAAAAAGTTGTTAGAGCAATAATAAAACATGCTAATGACAATTCTATAGAGCTATTCACATCTGTTTCAGCTTGAAGCCTTTCAACTGAAAGTGTTGTGGATGTTTTTCACATGTAAAAAAAAGCAAAAACATTTATTTACAAATGTTGCATTCTTCAGAGTGTAAGTTATACTGTGATTTGTGTAACTTGCACAGCTTATTGGAAGTTGAAAGAGACTTAATTATTTCATCTGTGTGCTCTTAGTTCTGAGTGGTTTGATGCTGTGAACTGAATGTGGTTGTATCTCTGCTGTGTTTTCTATACTTTATCTGGCATGTTTACTTTAGCTCTTTCTGAACTTGCATTCTAAGCTCTTTCACATAAATAAAACATCTCTTCTGTGTTAATAGTTGCATGGTTTTGCATTTCATTGTTTTAAACTCAGTTGCCAGCTAAATGTGAATGCACAATGAGTTTTGTAAAATGTGTCACTGTGATTAACATCCCCATGCTGTATGAAACAAATTGCCATCAACTGTGTTCATATGGATGAATTTGATGTATGTAGCATAGTCGAGCTCTCTGCACTGGCACATAGTTCAGTCAGCTCAAGTTCTTTCCATTCTTTGTCAATGTGTGAAGTACCTGTCAAATGTTTCGTGAAACAGAAGGAGAATCATTTACATTGATAACTTCAGTTGCTATTAAAGTCACTTCTGTGTTTCTCACATGGGAACAGGGAGCAAGGGAATACTTCTAGCAAAGTGTGAATTAATTTCATCTAAGTGATAGGGCTGTAAGGTGGTAACGTAATACCCACAGTTAGAAATAGAAAGCCATTGTCAATTTAATTACTTTATTGAAACTAATATAGAGACAGTATAATTTCTACAGATTTCTATAATTAGTGACCGGATCAAACAAGGATGCTATGATTCACATTAAAGGGTCAAAAAACATAAAACTGAAAAAATAGCATAAGTATAACAGTATGTGCTTCATGTACCGACATTTTGATCAGGTCATCTTCTGGTTTTTTGCTAAATACTTAATTGTGAATATTCTGTGTGAAGGAATGCATAGTGACTTAAGTTCAAGACCTATTGTAAATATGTTGCTTTCAGGTCATGTTTCCCTTTTATTTGCGTTAAAGATGGACTTTGAAAAACTTATATTTACCTTGGAAATACTGATATATTTGACTTAACTAACCTTATTGTCATGGTTTAACCCCAGCCAG